TAACTCTGTGAAAAAAGATTGTTTAATAAACATTTAATTTAAAAAAAATTGAGATAGGTATACGATAGAAATTTTAATTGAACAATTAAAAATTCCTTTTAAATGGATAGATAATGCCATCAGAAGATTTCTCACAATGTTAGAAAAAGAGAAAGAGAGAAAGAAAGAAAGAGAGAGAGAGAGAGAGAGAGAGAGAGAGAGAGAGAGAGAGAAAGAAGGTGAGGGAGAGGAAAAGAGGGAAAGAAAGCATTACCACGGATTCATAATTCTTCTTCAACACATTTAAATAATGAGCATAAGTCAATAAGAATCCGCCGGAAACGTGGAAAAAGGAAACTAGCAAAGGAAGTTCGTGACAGGAAAGAAAAAAGACTTATAGCGAAAGTAAAGTTCAAAGTCGATTTGCTTCGCCGACAATCACCACGATCGTGTTATGCCGCAAAAAGAGGAACCGCCCGTTGGTGATTGTATATTAAAACGCTCCTTCCTGATTCATACTAGCCTCAGGTTACCTATTCATACAGACGTAATGCGTGTATCTACAAATGTATCCAATCGATTGGCTTTCTCATAATTGAAGGGAGCCGATTTCTTCCCGCATCATAGAGCAATCATGTACAATTATAAATGTTAGCTGCTTATAGTTTACTTTAAAATAATACACGTACGAAGTTGTATTACATTGTATCTATATAAAATCACAAAAGTCCAAGTGCAATGAAGTAATCTAGAATCAGCTCCTTTTTGTTCATGTAGTTTCTTTTGCTTCTTAAAATTTTCGTGTCATTGAGATATGAACATTAAGATGGTTTAACGGATATTATGATTTAATCAGAGATGATGTACGGAAATGTGTGGAATGATAAGGTTTACGCGATCGCAATCATTTCAAGTATTACCCAGATATCAAAGCGAGTGACGTTTTTTGTTACGTGTCGTGAGAGATCACTCTTCCTCCTTTTACAACAATCAAGACCATTATCATGGTCGGAGAAAGACTAAATCTATAAGACTTCCCTTTCGCTGCGTTCTCCATCATTATTTTGTATCTTTTGGCATATATAGGAAGAAGGCATTTGTTGTTACATAATTTTTTAATTTAAAATTTGCTTTTACGTTTGCCATCTATCTCTTCTTTGTGTTGGGGTGTCTTGTAATCAAAATATATTCTATATACCGCATGCCGAAGTCTTTTCACTTTCAACTATCTTAAAGGAATGAAAGATGGAATTTACACTTCACTTTCGCCATATTGGTTTTGCCCACTCGAGGCGCTCTGTTATTTCCGCCTCGCTTTTGCAAAAACAAAATTGTATGAAAGTATTTATTGTATAAATTTAAATAAAATTATTGAGAAAATGCAAGGAGAAATAGAAAGTGCGAGGAGAAATATAAAGAAAAATATGAAATGCAATATAACATGATATTTTTTTTGACGATTTTACTAAATGTGTGTAGTGAACATTATAAGTATCTGCGAGACATTAAAATCCAATCAATTCTTAACTAACTTAAAAAATTACTTTACATTAACTACTTTACTTGAACGTTATATTTCAGACTAGATAGATTATTTTTATGAACATACTCTTTTATATAGTTTCCGATCAGTAAGTTACTTCAGAATCGCTTGAATAAAAAACATCAACAAAATATATAGGCAGTTGTAGAAAAAGGAATAAATTTCGCGAATTTCTGTTCTCGCACATTCCATTTTCACATTACATGAAATCAATCACGCAACTTTTCCGGATGATGCGCGTTTAGTAATCATGTAGACTTAACGTTTAGCAATAATTATTCGAACAGTGAACTTTTTGTATCGCTTAATCACAACTGTGTTAGCATGCAATAAACCATTTGGCAAATTAAATTAATTGGTGTTTTTATAACATGATTTTATACTTAGGTGTCATCAAGCATCTTTCTCATGATACTTGGAAAATTCACAGATGGCTATATACGTCGTGAAAATAACATTCTCGGAGCATCACGTTGCTAATATCTCGTTTGAACTTAGCACGAGAATAACGGGTCTCGAATCACTATGATATTATCATTTAAATTATATCCCGCAATTTTTTGGTCGTCAGTTTAAAACATAAAACCTTTCATAAAACAACTACATTGATTGGAAAAAGAGATTTATGTTGTCTTTAATAGATTTAATATTCGACAAGCATTATAATAGAGCACATTGAATAATTAAATACCTTTTACATGAATGTTTTTATTTGTTAAATGTAATTATTAAATTTAAATCTTGTCTTTTCCAATTATCATGAGAAAAAATGTCTATGATATAATTATACAAAAATTTGCATATATAAAAAATGTTTTAATAAAATCTTACAATAAGTAATAGTTACAGTTCTGAGGTAATAAAATAAAACAAAATTTTTAATCTATTAATGCAAATATTTTAATAAATAATTGCACTGTGTTACAGTATTGCAAAATATTAGTCTCCTTGTATCGTATATATTTTTTATTAAATATACAGAATAAATCAATAAAATAAGGAGAGATCATAAAGCCAAGATTCAATGTTTGACTTTATGCACGATGGTCTTGTAGATTGGAATCTTGATCGGAATTGGTTTTTCGATCGGTACGGGCACGTGTTTTACCACATGAAATGGTACCGGCTTCTCGATTTTCACCGGAATTATTTTCTCGACAGGCGTCGGTACCTTCTTCTCGACGGTTTTAATTACCTGCTTTTCCACCTAAAAAAAAAAACAAAGGCCTGCTTTCAGCAAAGGGAGTGATAAGGGAAGTGCAGATTTTATTGCAAAAATGGAGGTAATTATCGCGTAGTTACCTGAAATGGTACAGGCTTCGGAACTACCAGAGGAACAGGATAAGGCTGCGGAACCGTTTCCACTATCGGATGCGGTATGTTGATCGGAATTTTCTGAACCGTCGGTATCCCTATTTCACCGTGAATATAATGATAACATAAAAATGAAATAAGTTATTTAAAAAATCTTTATTAATAACAAATAA